CAACAACAAAAACAAATAAATGGGACTTGATTAAATTAAAAGGCTTCGGGACAGCTAAGGAAATAATCAACAGAGCAAATAGATAACCTACAGAATGGGAGAAAATATTCCCAAGCTATATACCTGATAAAGGGCTAATAATCAGAATCTACAAAGAACTCAAGCAAATCACCAAGAAAAAAACAAACAACCCCATTAAAAATTAGACAAAAGACATGGACAGAAGCTTTTCAAAAGAAGGTAAATAGCCAGGAAACATGAAAAAATGCTCAATGTTACTAATCATCAGGGAAATGCAAATTAAAACCACAATGAGATACCACCTTATCCCAGTTAGAATGGCTTTTATTTAAAAGTCCAAAAACAATAGATGCTGGCAGGGATGCAGAGAGAAAGGAATGTTTATATACTGTTGGTGGTACAGCAAATTAGTACAACCTCTATGGAAAACAGCATGGAGATTCCTCAAAGAACTAAAAGTAGACCTACCATTTGATCCAGCAATTCCACTACTAGGTATTTACCCAAAGGAAAAAAAAGTCATTTTATCAAAAAGACATCAAATGTTTACTGCAGCACAATTCACAATTGCAAAGATGTAGAATCAATCCAAGTGCCCATCAATTCGTGAGTGGATTAACAAAACATGGTATATGTATACTATGGAATACTACTCAGTCATGAGCTAGCATGAATTAAGGCCTTTTGTAACAATTTGGATGGAACTGGATATCTTTATCTTAAGTGAAGTATCTAAAGAATGGAAAAACAAACACCACATGCAATCACTACTAAATTGGAACTAACCGAAAAAACTGGAAGCAACCCAAATGCAATAGAAGAAAAGATTCTATTTGCCATAATAATAAGTCTTAGAATGAATTTAATAAAAGATGTGCAAGGACATCATGAAGAAAAATATAAATTATTATTAAAGGACAGACAAGATGATTCACATAAATAGATATCCCATGTACAACTGAATATTTCAAAGTTGTCAGTTCTCTCAAGTTAATCTATAAATTCAATATAGTTCCAATAAAAAATCCCAAACACATTTTATTATGGAGCTTGAGAAAATATCTAAAATTGAATGTAAGAATAAAGTTCCAAGAAGAGCAAGATAATTCTGCCTTTATCAAGCTATAAAAATTATAATAGTATGGTATAGAGAATTCCAAAACAGTTCTGAATATTTATGGAAACTTTGCATAGGACTGAAAGAGATTACAAATCAATAGAGAATAAATAGCATGCAATAGATGGTGTTGAGACAATTGGCTATCCATATGAAAAATTATATCCCTCCAAACTCCAATTAAATAAAAGATCCAAAAATAAAAAGTGAAGAAGTGTAGAATATCTTTATTATTTCAGTGTAGGAGTGGATTTCTTAAACATGACAAAAAAGTACAAAATACACAAAGATTAGTAAATTTCACTACATTCAAAATTATAAACTTCCCTAGCTCTCTGGGAGGCCAAGGCAGGCGGATTGCTTGAGGTCAGGAGTTCGAAACCAGCCTGAGCAAGAGCGAAACCTTGTCTCTACTATAAATAGAAAGAAATTCATTGGCCAACTAATATATATAGAAAAAATTAGCTGGGCATGGTGGCGCATGCCTGTAATCCCAGCTACTTGGGAGGCTGAGGCAGCAGGATTGCTTGAGCCCAGGAGTTTGAGGTTGCTGTGAGCTAGGCTGACGCCATGGCACTCACTTTTAGTTGGGCATCAAAGTGAGACTCTGTCTCAAAAAAAAAAAAAAAAAAAAATTATAAACTTCCATACCAAAAAAAAAAAATCATAATCAATTTAAAAGACAATGCAGTGTGAGAATATATTTATGACATACGCTACTAATTAAAATTGGCATCCAGATTCTTTAAAAAACTATAGATCAATAATAAAATATTTTGACTGTTATGATACTACTTGTAACATGCAGGCAGCAACCAACCAGAAGTCAGCAAGCTCAAACTGAATGAACACTTGAAAAAAGAGGCAGCTCTGGTGCATACCAGCTGAATATTAGCCCTCCAAACAATGCTAAACAAGAATCAACAAAAAAGAATGTGAACACAGAATAATGTAAACCCCTTCTCAGCAAAAAAGAAAAAAATTAAATTTGAAACAAATATTTTCCTTTAAACAGGGAATTAATATCAATTAAAAGAAAACTAAAGCCAGCTACCGGAATCATAACATTTTAGGTTGAGCAAGGTAAAATGGCCATTTTTATAGCAAAAAAATGATTAAAAAACAAAACAAAAAAACAACCTGGCTATTTCATATGGTTCAACTTCTATATTTTTCATTTAGCCATGGTATTGTAAACTGTCAGTTTATACAGAATATTCTAACCTGTAGAACTAAACACAAAACCTGCCAGTATACTAACTGATGGGCTTCAAATTAGTTCTCAATAAGATTAAAACTTGAATTTACTGAATTACATAAAGCAATTTTACAGTGTTATGTTTTCCTGGAATTCAATATAAAAACTGTTTTATAGCCCAACAAAAAATGTAATTTTTTATGTCTGTTGAAAATTGTGAAATAATGCTTAGGTGATTATTCAAAGCCTAAAGGTGAATGAGAGAAAATCTAATTGAACATAAATTGGTTGGATTTACAAACAGCTTCTTTTTTTCATTTTACTCCCATCAAAATCAACTTATTTGAGTCACTACACTATAAAAATTCCAGTATAATTTCTGAAATATCACCCCCATTGGCTCACTTAACCTAAAAGATTCTCATGAAGTTTAAGAAAAACCTTAAACATTACTGGAACAGAAATAGACATACAGACCTATGGCAACAGAATAGAAAGGCCAGAAATAAATCCATGCATTTATAGTGAACTGATCCTTGACAAAGGTGCCAAGAGCACACAATGGGAAAACGACAGTGTCTTCAATAAATGATACTGAGAAAACTGGATATCTACATGTGAAAGAATGAAATTGGACCCTACCTTACCCTAGATAAAAAAAATCAACTCAAAATGAATTAAAGACTTCAATGTAAAACCTCAAACTGGAAAACTACTAGAAGAAAACATAGCAGGAAAGCTTCTTTCTTTCTTTTGTTTTTTTTTGAGACAAGATTCTTGCTCTGTCGCCCAGTCTGGAGTTCACTGGCATCATGGTAGCTCACTGCAACCCAAATTCCTGGGCTCAAGCAATCCTCCTACCTCAGCCTCCTGAGTAGCTGGGACTCCAGGCACCCATGACCACACCAGGCTAATTTTTCTATTTTTTTGTAGACGGGGTCTTGCTCTTGCTTAGGTTGGTCTCAAACTCCTGAGCTCAAGTGATCCTCCTGCCTCAGCCTCCCAGAGTGCTAGGATTACAGGCATTGAGCCATTACACCCAACTGGGGGAAAGTTTCTTGACATTGGCCTGGGCAAAGATTTTTTTGGATATGACTGAAAAGCATAGGCAACAAAAGAAACAACAGACAAATGAGATTGCATCAAACTAAAAAGCTTCTGCACAGCAAAGGAAACAATCAGTAGAGTGAAGAAATGGCCTACACAACTGGAGAAAATATTTGTGAGCCATACATCTGCTAAGGGGTTAAAATTAAATAAAATAATGAACTCAAACACCACAATAGCAAGAAAACAAACTACCCCTTTAAAATATGGGCAAAGAACCTGAAAAGACATTTCTCAAAAGAAGACATACAAATGGTCAACAGGTATATGCAAAAATGTTCAATATCATTAATCATCAGGGAAAATCAAATTAAAACCATAATGAGATATCACCTCACACCTGTTAGGATGGCTGTTACCAAAAAGACAAAAGATAAGTGTTGGTGAGGATGTGGAGAAAAGGGAACTCTTGTACACCGTTGGCGGGAATGTAAATTAGTATAGTCATTATGGAAAACAGTATGGAGGTTCCCCAAAAAACTAAAAATAGTACTACTACATGATTCAGAAATTTTACTTCTGGGTGTATATCCAAAGGAAATGAAATCAGTATGTTGAAGAGATGTCTGCACTCCCATGTTCACTGCAGCATTACTCACAATAGCTAAGATATGGAATCTACCTAAGTGTCCATCAGTAGATGACTGGATAAAGAAAATGTAGTATATATACACAATGGATTATTATTCAGCCTTAGAGAAGGAAATCCTGTCATTTGAGACAACATGGGTGAACCTGGGGGATATATTACATTAAGTGAAATAAACTAGGCACAGAAAAACAAATACTACATGATCTCACTTATTTGTGGAATCTTAAAAAGTAGAATTTATAGAAGCAGAGATCAGAATGGTGGTTACTAGGGGTGGGAGGGAAAAATGGAGAATTGTGGAGATATTGGTTAAAGGATACAAAATTTCAATTATGGAATTGAATACAGGAAGAATACATTCAGGAAATTTATTGTACAACATGGTGACCATAGTTGATGTATTATATATTTGGAAAACTGCTAAGATAATAGATTTTAAATGTTCTCATCACATACAAAAAATGATAAGTATGTGAGGTAATTCATATGTTAATTAGCTTGATTTAGCCATTCTATAACATATACATACATCAAAACATCATGTTGTATACCATAAATATATAATTTTTGTTAATTAAAAAATAAAAAACAACCTTAAATAAAATAAGTGTGCACTGATCTTCTAAAGTTAAACGCCATTTTTATTTTGACAAATATAAACTGGCAAATCAATAATTAAGCAACCCAAACAGTTGATAAACAAGGGAAAATATGCTTAACTTTCTTCAATTCTTTCTTTGCTATTAATACTTTCTTTCCTTTCTTATGCTCTTCCTTTCTCCCTCCTTTCCTTCTTCTTTCCTTCCTTCTCTTTCCTTTCTCTTTCCTTTAGTATTAAAGCCAATATTTAAAAATGTTAACAACTATTAATATTTATTAATAGCAATATATATCTTGTTCTTGTACTTTAAGATATCTCTTAAATCTCTTTAGAAAGAAGGAAGGAAAAAGAAAAATGTTATTACCTTTGCCTCCTTTGCAATGAATCACTACGACGTTTTCCTTATCTTTGGACATCCATTTATCGACATCTTTAGAGAACTCCACCATATCGCTGATTTCAAAGGTAAGATTTTTAGTTGAATTAAAATATTTCCAAAAAGTCGGGCCCAATGTATTTAGCCCTCTTCTCACAGTCAACTTGGCATAAAACTTACTGCAGAGTGGGGACGTTGTGATCATCAATCATGACTCTATTAACCCTATAATGGAAGTACTTAGGATCATATTCTTTCTCACCTAAAATAGATAATGCATATGTTATGTCATATCTCTATACCTAATAACATAGTAAATGATGAAATTATCAATAAGTGAAAATTTTCTATTAGAAATTCCTTATCTACCTTCAAGAGGAGATTTCTGAGTGGTTCCTGCTGCTCTAAAACAAATTTAAAGATCTCAAAAACATAAGAATAGTGATGGTTTGTCCATTTCAGGTAACCTAAGCCTAACTTATTTTTGTTTAATAGGACTTACTTTTAATTTTCAAGCATACTACTCACTGTATTAATATTATTGTAGGGTAGTTAGAAACCATGCAAAGGGGCAAATATAGCTGACCAAAATGCTGGCCCCTGAAAACGTCTATTTAATATATAGTTAGAGGAAAACAATCAAAAGAGACAGAGTGGAAAACTAGGGTATAATCTGTTTTCTACAGGACTTTTTGTTTTTTCTTTTTTTTCTCCCATCTAGGGCCCTGCTTTCTCATCACAGTCCACTCCTACTGGGTTAGAGTACACATATGTTAGATTGTCTATGTTCTCATAAAGCAATCTGACAGGAAAAATAGAAAGATTTTCCTAATCATAATAACACTAGAGCAGATCTTCCCTAAAATGGTTCACCTTCATTCCAGCCTTTTGGTCCCACAAGGCCTGCGTCCCTCAAGGGTACTTTGTACTGCTGGGCTAACTCTTCTGACCAAATGGGGCCATTCAATATGGGAATTTTTGAAATCACTCCCCAACACCACCAAACACTTATGATTAAATGCAATGGAAAAAAATCATCTTCTTACATGCATTAATCTGTTTTCTATCTACAGTAGCAAAATATCAAGTCAGGTACATACTGCATAGATTGTAGACTTGATAGTGGCCCTGATGTTTACTGTCTAGGAACCGTGCGACTTCCTAAAAAAGACAGATGAATATCTTACATATCCACATGGTGACAACATAACCCATTTCCTAGGAGTAACCTCAAATGATTACTTTCTGTTCATTTGTCTCTCAGTGGCACCTCCTGGGGGAGATTCAGGGAATATGAGGGTATGTGCATTCCAAGTCACATCTAACCCACAGTGGTTTTCCAGTAGCCCACAAAGTGTGCTTGGGTACTTAGACTAGCCTCTGCTCTAAATATACATTGTTTAAAGCTACCAGAGAAGGAAATTAGCTGGTCAACTATTAATAATTTTAAGTAAATTCATTCCAAATATTTAATTCACAGTAACATGTGGCTCTTATTTAAATCTAAATCTATATAGCTAACAATCTGGATATTACAGTCTACCTAAACACTATGTAAATAAATAAATGTAAAAAATATAGTATGAGTGTGTGTGTGTGTGTGCATGATAGAAAAACATAAACATCAAATTTTAGATAAGTGGTATCAATATGGACAGTCTTTTTGGCTCATCTGTGTTTTCTTATTTTCTAAAAGGAATGTATGTATGTGTATATATACACACACACATATATTTGTGCATATATTTATAATATAATCTTTAAAATGAGAAATAGTGGTTATTATTGAAACTACAGTAAATATTGCCATACTCATAAAATATTTTCAGAAAATGTATCCATCTGAAACACACACACACATACACACACGTACTTGTATCCCTGTGCCACAACAAAAATGACTGTCAGAAAATTCAGAAACTTAGAGCAATGATTACTGACTTAATATTGAGGAAAAAAATTAAGGTATCAAAGTGATTGATTTGTTAAATTGATTATCCATCCCTGTCCAGAGGAAAATGAAAAAGATGAACATTCTGAGCCTGCATAGCATGGGGGGGAAGAGGATAAAAGTCTTATACAGTTCAAAAATTCATGGAATCTCTTACACAAAATCCACATGTATTCACAAATCAAATATAAAAAACTATAAATATCTCTAAGAAATTTAAGAGAAAATTAATCAGTTCTTTGAATTAGGAAGAGGTGTTGAATCAAGGGAAAATCAATAGGTTCAATTGGTTTAGGTTTGACTTCATAAAAATTTGAATTTCTGTTTAGAAAATGCCACAAAAAACAACCAACAGGGGAAAAGATTTTTCAGTAAAATTAACTGAATGGGGACTATACCTACTATAAGAAACAAAATAACTCTAACAACAACTTAAGCAGTACTCCCTTCACCCCACAGATAAATGGGCTAAGGACATAAATAATCCACAAAAGTGAAGTTCTAACCAACAACCTACATAGATAAATATTCAGTCTTGCCAATAATAAGAAAGTCAAAACAGGGACATGCCATTTTCACACATGAAATTAGCCACTTCTAATGAGAAAATGCTGGCATTTCAATGCTGGCAAATATGGCATGAAAATAAAACCTTTGATTTATTGCTAATACAATAAATAATACAATTGCTCTTGGAGTATTCAATTGTACCAAGGCTAAAAATTAAAAGATGGCTCAGATTTTAGGACTGTAGGTAATATATGTCTGATTTTTCTCAATATCTCAGCCTTTGTATTGGCTTACTAAGTTTATAAGCCCTGGAACTCTTCCTTGTGATGCAAAAGTAGAAAATGCTGTCTACACTTTGAAAGTCATCTTGCAACAACCTCCACCTTTGGGTTTTCCTAAATCTGCCAAACTCTTCTCTCTGCCTATCTTAGCTCATTTCTTTTCTTTTCTTTTTTTTTTTTTTGGTTTAATATATTTTATTGGAGTCTTTCAGATAAAACCAGATTGTTGCACAAGACAAAGCAAATGCAAGTGAAAGCTATTTACTTGACAGGTAAGTGCCCCCAAATTTCCAAGTAATTTTTTCTCCAATAAGATTATAGCTGTTCACACAGGTTAATACAGGAAAGAAGTTCCTAGGATCTGCTCAACACCAACTAGAGGACATCCTTTGTATCAGCGAAATCCACAGCAAACGGGGGAAAGGGCATGGCTCTCCACTCAGCACAGCCTGCAGGTCAAGCATTAGGAACCATCATCTGGGCATCACAGCCTTCCCAAAAGCAAGTCCCCAAAGGAGTAGGCTCCAAACTTTACGTCTTTGGCCAACAAGTTAGTGTAGAATCTGTGAATGGGCACTGCTCCAGCTGGGCTTCCAGACTCTCATTCTTCATTCAAGGACAAACTCCATTATGGTGCTGCGAGGATCGAGGATCGGAAGCTTGGGAAGAAACCAATGAGTCAGCAGAGGTCGGAGCAACTCCAGCTGAGTTCCCCAACCTGACCTAGGTCAGTCCCAAGCAGTGGCGTCAGGCAGACATCACAAACTATTCCGCAACGGTTGTTCATACAGATAAGCCCAGGCCTGCAGTCCCCTCCCCCAGCAGGGTTCGGAAGTGCCCGTGCAAGCACTGCAGTGCAAAGGCGGCGCGGGCCGCAGGCGCCTGCCGTCCCCTCAGCTCGGCAGCAGGCTCCGCAGCGGGCGTCAGGAAGACACCCGCGTCCTCACGCTGCCAGCTGCCAGCGGCCAGCCCGGCAGGCGCAGGCTGAGAGGAGGAGGGGGAGGGGGGAGGAGGAGGGGGAGGGAGAGAGGGAGAGAGGGGGAGAGAGAGAGAGAGAGACAGACAGACACACGAAGACTTAGCTCATTTCTTGATTTGGAGGCAAAGGTACACATGCCCTCTCTTGCAGGAGGTGGCAGCAGTGGCCAAACTTGTTGATGCTTCTACCATAGTACTTGTTTCTCCACTAACTCTATGGGTCCTACATCTGTACAGTTTTAGCTACTTCAAGGCAGCATTTGACATTTCTCTGTTAGCAAATTTAGCACTTGTGAAATTTATTGTCTTCTTTGTATATTGTATGTTGTTCAAACATAACCCTGAAACTTTATTCCCTTTTAAGAATAAAGGGGAACCACATAACTGTGTAGCATCCTTTCAGGAGTTAAGTATGCCTGGATCTGAATCTTGCACCCTTTAGTCAATCTTGATTTAAAATACTTTGTAGATGGTCCTTATCTTAAAAACTACATCCCTGTGCAGGATATGCTGTTATCATTGAACATGCAACCACTGAAGCAGCTCCATGGTGTTAATTCCCAGTCTGCCCAGGAAGCTGAACTAGTATGTTAGATTTGAGGCTACACTCCGGCAAAGATAGAAGAATAAATATTAATATGGACAGTAGATATACTTTTTGGGTAGTTTATGATTTGTGGATTTTATGAAAATGGATGATTTATTATCTGCTCTTTGGAAATTCTAAAAGTAGCAAAGAGATCAATCAATGACTTATTAGAATTTGGTCAATACCCCAAAGAGATAAATTTAATAACTGATAGAAACCAATAGTCTAGAGATCATCCCAGATGCAAATATGAATGTCTTTGTTTTGATATACATGCTAAATGACATTTTTGGCTTTTAAAAAATATACCTCAGCTAATGTTAAGTGTTACTAAATTTACATTTGTCACCACCAAACCTACGAAAAGAAAATTGGCCCAATTTAGATTGGGATGTAATTAACTCATAGTTATCAGTTCAATCTACTAAAAAGCAATATTAGCAATCCAAGAACACTTAACCTATGAAAGATGGATTCTGGCAATTTTGGGATGGCTACCCTGAAGTGGCGTGATCCATCCAATGGACCTTGGTCAAAGTACAAATGCATTTTTATACAACTGCTCAAGTTTTAAGTCACTGTCTATATATTAGTTATTGTTTGTAAAGTTTTTGCATGTATAGAAATCTTTCCTTTCCTGAGAGTAAGGTAGAAGGATTCCATCAGTGGTCTCAATTCTTCATCTTTCCCTGTATCCATATGCTTGCTCTTCGCCTTGTTTTGCCCTCTCACTCTAATTTTGGGTTCCATCATGTGAGTTGATTTGGTCAATGTGAAAACATAAAGCAGAGGTTGCAAAAGCACTTGTAAGATTCTAGTCTAGATCTTGCCTTTTGCCATCACCTTGAAACATGTCCAGGGTATCCTGATGGAGAATGAAGATGAGTCAAGCAGATATGGGTTACCCAAGAGACCCCAGCTAAGATCATTGTAGACCAGCTCATAAAGACACTTAAAGAAAGGAAAACTAAATATCTCTTATGAACATAAATAAAAAGTTCTAAATAAAATATTAGCAAATAGAATCTAATGATATATGGAAATGATAATATATTAAGACCAAAGGGAGTTTATTCTAGGAATAAAAACAAAAAGATTGGTTTCACATTTGAAAATCTTATTAATGGAATAACACAGAAAAACATTTTGATTATCTTGATAGATGAAGAAAAAGTATCTGATAAATTCAACCCCAATTCATGATTTAAAACTTTTAGTAAACTAGAAATAAAATGGAACTATCTTAATCTGGTAAAAGATAGCTACAAAGCCTGTAGATAATGTCGTTTCTAATAGTGAAATATAAAATTCTTTCTACCTAAGTTTGAGAACATGGCAAAGCTGCCTCCTCTTATCACTTCTATTCAATATTAGAGTGGAAGTCCCAGACAATTCAATAAAGAAAGAAAAAATAAATAAAAAGTATAAAAAGTGAAGAGAAAGTAGTAACTTTATATGAGTGTATATATAAAAATCCCAAGGAATCTACAAATCAATTATTAAAATGAATGTGTGAATTTATGAAGGATGCTGGATATAAGTCAATATACAAAAATCAATTATATTTCTATATACCAATAGCAAATAATTAGAAAATAAACTATGTAAAATTTCATTTAAAATAGCACAAAAACTTAGTAAATGCCTAATAAAACTAATAAAAGATAGGTAAAACATGTACACTGAAAATACTGCTAAAAATAATCAAAGATGACCTAAGTAAATGGAGAGATACACTATCTTTATGGGCTGGAAGTCTCAATATTTTTAGACATCAATTTCTACCCAAATTAAGCTATATAGTTAATGCCTTCCAAGTTAAAGTGCCAGCAGGGTATGTGTAGGGTGTGTGTATGTGTGTAAATTGACACGACAATTCTAAAATTTATATGGAAATTCAAAAAAATCTTGGCGAGCCAAGATAGTTTGAAAGAAGTACAAAGTTAGAGGACTTATATATAAGTTTTCAAGACTTACTATAAAGTCATAGTAATTAAAATTGTGATTTGGGCTCAAGTATAAACAATCAATAATGGAAAGGAGAGAGAGCCCAGAAACAGACCCATACATATTTATGTTCATTTGACTTACAACAAATGCACTTTGTTCACTTGATTTACAATTCAGTGGGAGAAATGATGCTCTTTACAGGAGCATTTGATAGCTATATGAAAAACAGGAATATTGCCACTTTCTTTGTATCTTTACAATAATTAATTGGAGATCAGTCATAGACTTAAATGTGAAAGGTAAAATGATAAAGCTTTAGAAGACAAGATGGTGGAATGTTTTCATAATCTTGGGGTCAGATAAAGATTTCTTAAATAGAACACAAAATCACTAACCATTAAAAAATTGGTAAATTGGACTTCATTAAAATGAAGCATTTTTCTCATGAAAATAACCTGTAAGAGGGTTTAAAGGCAAGCCATAGACCAGGAGAAAATATTTACAATGCAAACATTGAACAAAGGACTTGTTTCCAGAATATATGAATTATTACAAATCAGTAAGAAACAAACAACTCAATTTTAAAATGGACAAAATACTTAATTTAATTAGGCATTTTCCAAAAGAGGATACCTAATTGCATATATCTACAAAAAGACATGTGTAAAGATCTTCAGCAACTTCATAATAGCCCAAGAATGGAAGTAATCCAAATGTTTAAAAATAGTGAAATTAATAAATGAATTATAGAATATTCAAGCAATGCAATCTATTTAGCAGTAAAAGCTAACTACTTGCAGAGCTCCACGTTGGAGGGCTGGTGGATTTAAGCTCACTTCCCCGTAGTCTGCTTGCCTGGAGTGTATTCAAGGGAGGGGGAGCACGTGGGGGCAGGCATTTGGAGAGGCCCTGGGGTTTGGCTTAGGTTCAGTTCAGGTTTTGGGGAGACCAGCCCAGGGAGGCAGAGGCTGCAGGGACTACGGGAAGCCACAGACCTGGACAGACTGCCGGAAGCCCTAAAAGATTGTGAGAGGAGAAGGAAAAAGGAAAGTCCTGTTCTGGATCAGTTTCTTTGTTGTGTAGCCAAGACTGGAGTAATGATTCAATGGTCTCAATTTAAAAGTATTTTATTTTCAAACTGGAGAAAGTAATGAATGATTTCAGAACTTCAGCTCCTGAACCAAGAAGTCCTCCCAACTCTAATGTCAAATATATGCCCTTTGATGAAATGAAGGAAAGAATACTGAAACTTGTCAGTGTATTTAATGGGAGAAGATGAATTACAGCTGCTCTCTGAACTGAAGTTACAGGGTTTTCGTATTCTTTTTACTATTGGCCACTATGTGAATTGCTAACAGAGTCAAGGAGAAACTGTACAGGAAGAGACACATTTCTCAGGGGAGCAGAAAAGAATGTGATAGTTGTTAGCTAAATTTATCCTTCAGAGAAAAACAATCTCAATAGTTTAAATCAAATGATGACAGCCCCCATGACAACAATAGTTGGTGTGAGAGCAGAGACAGCCAAGAGACAAACTTCCAGCAAAATCACAGTGACTTTCCAACATCTGGAATCAGAAGGTTTCTAAGTGAGCCCTATAAAAAGTCCAGATGAAGATGCTGCGGAAATTAAGGGACATGAGATTTTACAAGGAAAGGCAAAGAATTTATGAAGAAGCATTTCTTCATGTTTGTTGGCCATTATTCTGTCTTCTTTTGGAAAGTTTCTGTTCATGTCCTTTATCCACTTTTTGATAGAGTTGTTTGATTTTTCCTTGCTGATATTCCTGAGTTCTAAGTAGATTCTATTTATCAGCACTTTATTGGATGTGTAGCTTGTGAAAATTTTCTCCTGTTCTATAGGTTGTCTGTTTGCTCTTGTCACAGTTTCATTGGCTGTGCAGAAGCTTTTTAATTTGATCAGGTCCCATTTATTTATTTTTATTGTTGCTGTGATTGCCTTTGGGGTCTTCTTCATAAATTCGTTGCCTAGGCCAATGTCTAGAAGAGTATTTCCAATGTTTTCCTCTAGAATTCTAATAGTTTCTTACCTTAGGTTTAAGTCTGTTACCCAGCATGAGTTGATTTTTGTGAGTGGTGAAAGGTGTGGATCCTGTTTCAGTCTGCTACATGTGTCTATCCAGGTTTCCCAGCACCATTTATTGAATAAGGATTCTTTTCCCCAACGTATGTTTTTGTCTGCTTTGTCAAAGATTAGATGGCTATATAAGGATGGTTTTTATATCTGGGTTCTCTGTTCTGTTCCACTGGTCACTGTCTCTGTTCTTATGCCAATACCAAGTTGTTTTAATTACTATAGCCTTGTAGTATAGCTATAGCTTTGTAGTATAGTTGAAGTCTAGTAGATTGATATCTCCCTTTTTTTTATTTCCTAGCATTGCTTTTGCCAAATGGGGTCTTCTCTGGTTCCATATGAAGCATAAAATTAGTTTTTATATATCTGTGAGAAATGATGATGGTATTTTAATAGGGATTGCATTGACTCTGTAGATCACTTTGGGTAGTATAGACATTTTAACAATGTTGATTCTGCTGACCCATGATCATGGTATGGTCTTCCACCTGTTTATGTCTTCTGCTATTTCCTTCCTCCAGGTTGTCTCTTTATTCTATTGATTGTTTGCTGTGCAAAGCTTTTTGGTTTGATGTAATCCCATTTGCCTGTTTTTATTTTTGTTGCCTGTGCTTTTGAGATCTTATACATAAAATCTTTGCACAGCCAATGTCTAGAATATTTCCCCTACAGTTTCTTCTAGTAGTTTCATAGTTTTGGGTCTTACAGTTAAGGTTTTTTTAATACATTTGATTTGACTTTTGTATACGGTGAGAGATAGGGGTCTAGTTTCATTCTTATGCATATGTATATCCAGTTTTCCCAGTATTTATTTTTTGTACACAATCATGTTTTATTTGAAAACATGTCTACACTGCATTGAGCACCAACACAGGTGTGGAAAAGAAACAAGTCGTGTCCCAGCAGGCACCAGGTCCAGTGTATGACTTGAGGTCGACTGCTATTATTCACAGGGGGCGTGAGGGAAGAGGATAGGAAAGAAGAAATGATATTATTCCTAACTCCTGTTCAGGAATCCAAACAACAAAACTGAGTTATTCAAACCTCAAACAGCTCATCTAACTTCCCTTCTCTCAATCAACTGATGTTCAAATATGGAACCTGGGCCGGCGGGGAGCACACAGATGGATTTGGGGAACACAAAGACACACTGTTTAAAATAACATCCACACAGTACTGTGAAATATGGGAGGAATGGGCTGTGCTTCCAAATGACGGTCTACTCTTTCCTGTTTTATGAACTCTCACAAGTGTAGAGGATATCAGAATTGCACAACTGCAATCATGACAGAGCATCTGCTCAGTCTAAAAGTTTTTTGTTTAGGAAAAAGAATTCAATGGATCTTCAGGACGAGAAGGGCCGAGACAGAATGAATGGCCTCCTGTGCTCCTTTCTTTTGATCTTCTCAACAGGACGACCCATAGAAATTTGTGGTTACATCCCGAAGACTGGAGACATATATTTTTATATCAAGGCTTTAAGTCTAGCTACTTCTAAAATATTAATGTTGTACAAGATGATTTTTTTCTCCCCACATATTTCCTCTGAGGCAGAGAGCAAATGTTAGAAAACTGGCTGTCTCCCATGCTGAAGGTCAACGTAGGGTTTCTTTCTGTTTGGGGGCGAACATGGTTATTGGTTTCTAGAACACTTGAGTCTCCAGTGCCACTAGACACCCAGAGCTTCCTTGGCATTTGGGGCCCTGAGATCTCCATGTTCCAGAGCAAAGTGGTCATTCCAGAGGATCTGTGTCATAGGGAAAAGAGAAGGCTGCCCCCCTTAACTCTGGCAACCCGTCTTCTGAGTGAAGCAGCAGGGGCAGCCGGGAGCAAACCTTTGAGTCATCAAGTCATCATGGAGAATGTTTTAGGTAAAGCAAGGCTAGAGGCGGTGGCCTGGGGGTCTTATGAGAAACAAAGTGTCTTCTCCAAAGTATACACTTCCTGTTTACCATCTAATTGATGTCTTTGAAATGATGTATCTGGACCAGCTAAAAGGCAGTTGCTCATTGCCTATTACCCAAGTTTAGATTTTTCTGCCTGATTATTCACACCAGATCTGGCTTTAAAACATAAAACAGACCAAACTAGAGTAGAATGTGTACATTTCAACAGATTGGCAATTGCAAAATGTTGGTGCCATTTACTGATGTAGCACTTGATCCAAGGACTCCGTTGATATAAATATTTCCAGATCCTTTTGCATTTTAACAACAGAATGGTCAGAACAAAGACATGTGATTACAGTTTCTAACATCAATAGTGATAATGTCTTAGTCGTAAGTCAGTTCACATAGTTCTGCTCTGTTTTCTAGGCAGTTTGTCTTTTAAATCATCTTTTATAAAATTTATATTCAAGAAAATTGTCAAAAGGCAAATGCTTAGAGGAGCCTAAGCTTTTCCTTCGGTGAACTGTCTTTCCTTCAGTTACGTGTGGCAAGGGGAGGGATTGCTATGGATTTTGAATGGGGTGGGCAGGCATTCCATGGGTCATCTTCTCCCACAAGCTCAGGGACAGAGGTGAGGGGAAGTCAGAAATTCTCTTTTTAATGTGTGTTGATAGTGGAGCATGATCCTTCACCTCTTAGGGTGAGTACCTTCCTGACATTTTTCTCATAACCACAATGATGATCCCACCAAGGAAGCCAATGGCTAGTAAGACCCCAACTATGATTCCAACCAGGGTCACTGTCGTCAAACAATCTTTTTCAATTGTTATCCACGTCTCTCCACTCACTGTGTCTGTGGAGTGGCTGGCCATCACATTTGGGACTGTGGTGCTCTGGCTCTCTTCTTTGGCATGGACTGTGCTTTCCAGGGTTGGCAGATCCTCAATGTCAGGGTTCGTTGTGTTCTTTGCACTTGTTGCCACCAGGGTTGTTGGGCCAGCAGGCTTAGAGGGCTCTTCAGTAGCTCCTGGGGTTGCCACATCTTCTGCACTTGGCATTATAAAGCCATTTTCTACACCAGGAGTCTCAATGTCATCTTCTGGCTGGCTCATGCTAGCGCCTCCTGCCAGGACCCAGAGCAGTGCACTTCCCAAAATGAAGAGCAGAACTGGCCCCTTCCACATCTTTCCAGCCTACTTGCTCTCTCGGGGGTGCTGAGCGGCTGGATTCTGATCTGGGGGCAGATGAAACAGCTCTGCAGCCATGGACCGGCTGGGGGGAAATGTGGCGGTGGGACTGGAGTGCACAGTGGAGTGGGGTGCCAGAGGTGCCCAGCCGTGCTCGGCATGGGGCAGCAGTGGGGTGAACCTCACAGCTCCCAGTATCATTTATTGAATTATGTTCTTGGCACCTTTGTTGAAGGTCAGTTGGTTGTAAATATGTGATTTATTTCTAAGTTCTCTATTGTGTTCCATTGGTCTCTGTGTCTCTTTTATGTCGGTACTATGTTGTTTTGGTTACTATAGTTTTGTAATATTTTTGAGGTCAGATGCTGTGATGCCTCCAGCTTTGTTTTTTTTGCTCAGGATTACTTTGGTTATTTGGAGTCTTTTGTGGTTCCATATGAATTTTAGGATCATTTCTTCTAGTTCTGTGAAGAATGTCATTGGTATTTTAATAGGAAATTCATTAAATCTGTAGATCACTTTGGGGAGTATTATCATTTTAACAATATTAATTCTTCTAATCCATGAGCATGGGATGTCTTTCCACTTTTTTGTGTCCTCTTCAATTTCTTTAATCAGTGTTCAACACATGCAAGTCAATAAGGGTGATACATCATATCAACAGAATGAAGGACAAATACCATATGATCATCTCAACAGATGCAGAAATGGCATTTGGTAAAATTCAACATACCTTCATGATAACAGCCCTCAAATTAAGTATACTCCAGCTTTGTTCTTTTTTACTCAGGATTACTTTGACTATTCAGGGTCTTTTGTAGTTCCATATGAATTTTGGGATTGTTTCTTCTATTTCACTGGAAAGATATTTGACCTCCTTGGTTAAATTTTTTCCTAGGTATTTTACTTTATTTTTGTAGCTATTTAAATGGGATTGATTTTTTTTTCAGCTAGTTCATTTTTGGTGCTTAGAAATGCTACTGATTTTTGTATATTGATTTTATACCCTGTAGCTTTACTGAATTCATCAGTTATAAGAGGTTTCTTTGTGGAGTCTTTGGGTTTTTCTATATAGAAGATAATGTCATCTGCAAACAGACAATTTTATCTCCAACTTGGATGTCCTTTATTTAATTCTCTTGCCTAATTTTTCTGGATAGACCTTCCAGTACTATGCTGAATAACAGTAGAGAAAGTGGGCATCAAATATATAGAAAAAAAAAAAAGAAAGAAAATGGGCATCATTGTCTTGTTCCAGGTCTCAGAGGAAAAAGCTTTCAACTGTTCTCCATTCAGTATGATGCTAGTTGTGGGTTTGTCATATATGGGTTTTATTGTATCAAGGTATGTTCCTTCTATACCTAATTTGTTGAGAGCCTTTATCATGCAGGGATGTTGAATTTTACCTAATGCCATTTCTGCATCTATTGAGATGATCATATGGTGTTTGTTCTTCATTCTGATGATGTGATATATCACATTTATTGACTTGCATATATTGAACTGCCCTTGTAGCCTTGGGATAAATTCCATTTGATCATTATGTATAATCTTTTTGATATGCTGTTGGATTTGGTCTGCTAGTATTTTATTGAGAATTACCGCATCTATGTTCATCAGAGATATTGGCCTGTAGTTTTTTTTGCTGTATCCTTGGCTGATTTTAGAATCAGGGTAATGCTGACCTTGTAGATGAGTTTGGAAGAATTATCTGCCCTTCGATTTTTTTCTTGGTATACTTTTAGAAGAACTGGTGCTAGTTCTTCTTTAAAAGTTTGGTAGATTCAGCAGTGAAGCCATTCAGTCCTGGGCTTTTCTTTTTTCTTTTCTTAACCAATGTGCTTTCTCTCTCTCTCTCTCATATATATATTTCGGCATATTATGGGGGTACAGATTTTAAAGTTTCAATAAATGCCCATTCCCCCCTCCCCCCACAAGTCTGAGTCTCCAGCATGACCATCCCCCAGATGGTGCATATCTCACTCATTATATATGTATATACCCGCCCCCTCCCCCTCCCCCCTGCCCAATACCCTATTAAGCGTACTTTGTGTTCTTAGGTGCTCTCGTTAATCACCATGTGCTGGTGGTATATGTGGTGCTTGTTTTTCCATTCTTGGGAAACTTCACTTAATAGTATGGGTTCCAGCTCTAACCAGGAAAATATAAGATGTGCTATATCACCATTGTTTCTTAGAGCTGAATAGTACTTCATGATATACATATACCACATTTTATTAATCATTCTTGGATTGATGGCTTTGGCTGTTTCACAGCCTTGCAATTATGAATTGTGCTGCTATAAACATTCGAGTGCAGGTGTCTTTTTTGTAGAGTGTCATTGGATCTTTTGGGTAGATGCCCAGCAATGGGATTGCTGGATCAAATGGTAGATCTACTTGTATCGCTTTAAGGTATCTCCATATTGCTTTCCACAGAGGCCGTACAGTTTGCAGTCCCACCAGCAGTGTAGAGTGTTCTCTCTCTCCACATCCATTCGCCGCATTTATTGTTTGAGACTTTTGATTAAAGGCCATTTCTTCACTGGATTGTGATATCTCATGTGTGTTTTGATTTGCATTTCCTGATGATTAGATGTTGAGCATTTTTTCATATGTTTTGTTTGGCCATGTCTCCTTTCTTCTTTAAGAAAAGTTCTCTTCAAGTCCTTTGCCCACTTTTATAGGGGGTTATTTGAGTTCTGTGATTTTCATGGAAGTTCTAAGTATATTCTAGTTATCAGCCCCTTAATCGGATGCGTAGGATGCAAGTTTTTCCATTCTGTAGGTTGTCTGGTTATTTTTCATGACTATTTCTTTGCTGTGCAGAAGCTTTGTAGTTTGATCATGTTCCATTTTTATCTTTGTTGCTGCTTGTTGCTTTGGGGATTCTTCATAACTTTTTGCCTAGGCCGATGTTAGAGAGTGTTTCCAACTTTTTCCTCTGAATTTAATAGTTTATTACCTTAGTTTACTCTTTATCCAACGCTGCATTGTTTTTGTGAGAGGGAAAAGGTGGTGGGTCCCTGCTTTAGCCTTCTACAGGTGGCTAATCCAGTTTTCGCCCACATTATTGAAAGGTTCTTCCAGTGATTGTTTTTGTTTGCTTTGTCAAAGTTAGATGGCTATTGAGGATGGTATGTTATATCAGGATCACAAATTTAGTCTCACTGTGTCCCAGTTATTCCTGTTTTTGTGCTAATCTATGATTTAATTTCTAAGCTTTGTATATACGTTGTATTCTGGCATATTAATGCTTCATTTTGTTTTTTGTTGGCCTAAGATTGCTTTGATATTCGGTGTCTCTTGGTTCCCGTATGAGGCATAAATTATTTTTCTATATCTGTGAAGAATGCTGATGGGATTTATAAGGTATTGTTGAATTGTAGTCGTTTGGGTGTATGAGAATTTTAATGATGTTTGAGTCTGCCGATCCATGAGATGGGTATGGATTCATCTGTTTAATCCTCCTGCTATTCCTTCTCAGTGTTTTAAGTTTCTCCCTGTAGACGGTCTTTATCCTCTCCTGGTTAGTAATTCCTAGGTACTTTAATTTCTTTGTTGCTATTGTGAAAGGAATTGAATCTGATTTGGTTCTCAATTAGGATTGTTGTTGTGTATATGCATGCCTCTGTTTCTGTGTATTGATTTGATCTGGACTTTACGTTCATTGGATCGTTTCCAGGAGTTTCTTGGTTGATCTTTGGTTTTACTATATCAATATATCGCATGTGGAATTTGATCTTTCTGCCCCATTTGGATACCTTTATTCCCATTTTCCTGTCTGTTGGCTGTAGCAGATTCCACACTATGGTTGATAGAGTGGGGTAGTGGCGAGCTTGCTGGTTCCAGTTCTAAGTGGAATAGCTTTCCAATTTTTCCCATTCAGTTAGTTTGGTTATGGGGTCTGTCATTATGGCTTGTATCATTTTTTAGTATGTCCCTTTTATGCCTATTTTTTACGTGTTCATTCATGAAGGTGTTGAATTTTGTCAAAAGCTTTTTCTGCATCTTTGAAAGAATTCATGTGGTCTTTGTTTTTGCTTCTGTTATGTTGAATTGATTTATAGTTTACGTATGTTGAACCATCCCTGCATCCCTGGATGAAGCCCACTTGGTGTGATGGATTTTTTTTGATAAGCTCTGTATTCGGTTAGCTAAATTTTGTTGAAAATTTTGCTGTATATTTTAGAAATTGTCTGTTTTTTTTTTTTGTGATCCTTTCCGTTTTGGTATCAGAGTAATATTCGCTTCATAAAAGGTGTCGGGTGAGGTTCCATTCTTCTCGATGTTGTGGAATACTTTCTGCAAGATAGGCTCTAGTTTTTCTTTGTAAGTGTGGTAAAAATTCGGGTGTGAAGCCATCTGACGGGACTTTCTTTTTAGGAGATTTTTTGCTGTTTCTATTTCAGCTCTTGAGATTGGTCTGTTCAGGAATCTATTTTTCCTGGTTGAGCTAGGGAGGGCTGTGTGTTTCTAGGAATTTGTCATTTCTCCCATTTTCAGTTTGTGTGCTAAAGATTTTTGTAGTTTCATAATTATATCTTGTATCTCTTTGGGATCAGTTGTGATATCTCCTTTTTGTTCTGATGGAGCTTAGAGATTTCTCTTTTCTGCTTTTTGTTAGCTAGCAATGGTGTGTCAATTTTTTTTTCAAAGAACAACTTTTTGTTTTATTATCTCCTGATAAGCTCCTGTTTTCAATTTCATTTAGTTCTGATTTGATCCTGTGTTGTTTCCTTCTTCTGCTGGTTTGGGTGGTCTGTTCTTCTTTTTCAGTCTTGAGTCATTTCATTGATTGTCTATTTGTGATCTTCTTGTCTTTTGGTTATAGGCTTATGGAGTAAACTTTCCTCTCGAACTGCTTTAGCTGTGTCCCAGAGGAGTTGATAATTGTCTCCATTGTCGTTTTCTTCATAGAATTTTTTATTTTATTTATGAAGTATCATTTAGTAGGAGGTTGTTAATTTCCGTTTTGTGTAGAAATGTTGAGTTTCTGTTAGGTTGATTTTACTTTATTCCACTGGTGATCTGAAGGTGGAGATGGCCCATTCTCAATGAGACTTGTAAAGTTCATTAGGAAGTCTGGTGTTATTCGAATTGGCTTTCCCTGTATGTTACTTGCTTTTCGTCTTACAGGCTCATAGAAGGGCCTCTTTAGTTGATATTTGGTCAGTCTGAGGACTGCATGTCGTGAGTTTCTGTTTGCATTGGAATTCCCAGGGGTCCTCTGGCTTCTTTGAATTGTATATCGAGATTTGGCAAGGCTGGAATTTTCTATATTATATCTTCATAGCTTGTCCATTTGAGTGTTGTCTTTTCCCCTTTGGTAACCCTAATGACCCTAC